TAGGAACAAAGTTACTAACAGTCAGCTATGATAAACACAACTGACCGGGGCAGAATGAACTGCAAGGCAGATTTATTTCCATGGTGCTTAAAACAGTTTCATTCATTTTAAACTGATCTAATTGAATCTGTAGAAATCCAAATTGGTGAATACTCAATATAAAATCAGTCTCACTCACAGTAAGAGTTCAGATAAATCCACTGACGTCAGCTGTTAGTTTACTGATTGTGAAGTTTTGGCTTTGGATTTTGCACATCATAAGAAGTCAAGAACAAGTTATTACTCTGGCAGAGGATCAATATTAATGTATACTTCATTGATCCCCCGTGGGGAAATTACTGTCTCTGCATTTGACCCATTCACTCAGGGAAGCAGTGGGCAGGCGCACCGGGGATCAGTGTGTAGGGACAGTGCCTTGCTAAGTGGTACCTCAGGGTAGCCGTTCAGTGGATTCGAACCCCCGACCTTCCTATCATGGACCACTCTACCTACTGCTCATTGGATTGCTGGAGGATTACTGGAGTTTAGATCTTAATTAAAACATGCACAGGTACATTTATGAGATGCATTAATTACCAAATGCTTTGTTAAACTCTCTAAACAACAAAGATACAAATATATACATGAAAAGCAAAGACAAAGATAGTAGAATAAAGGTTAATATTTAAAGAATCTCTCATGTCTTGAAAAAGGAAGAAAAATATGTTAAACCTCTAATTCTATATATCTGTTTATTACTTTTGTCCACAAAAACATCTAGGAGAAAATAAGCGTTAATATAAAGCAGTAAAACATGAATATTAAAAACTGACCTCCCCCCCTAAAGCCCTAAGTGCTGCAGGGTACTAAAGCTCACACACATACTATGTTGGTTTTCTGTTTCCTAGGTCAGAAATACTGACATAATTGAAGTCAGTAATACTTTCAAATTCAAATCTACTGCCATGATAGCGGCTGGGTGACTTCAGCTGAAGTCAGCATGTGCTAATTAAATTTGATCATCATGCACATTTCTGTTTGAGATGAAGATGGTGCTGCTTTATGGTTTCAAAGTTTTAAATTGGTCTGGTCTGAATCAGTTGATCGGTTTGTTTTTCTTTCTCTCAGCTTCTTTCCACAAAGAGAAAAAACCCAAAGAATCATCATGCATCCCTTCAAATCACCAGAAAACATTCATGTAGCTTAGATATGTCTAAGGTGGGGAGGAAGAAAGTAAATATAGGAAGAAAGTCTTCTTAAATAGCACATATATGTTTGCATTTATGAAACACGCCCAGTTAGCTGTTTTAACTAGTATTACTGTGGAAGCTGCCATTCTTTGCATGCTCCACCATAG